TACAGCGTGAGAGGACGGGTTGGTGGCCGTTGTTTTTTTATTACTTTTATTTATTTTTATGTTTTATCTCATCGAGTTGTCGTGGACAACGCTGGGCGTTGTGATTGAAGCTAGGATTACGTTGGTGGATTAATTTTTTTTTTTTAAATAAAAGACGTCAAAAACTTGTCTTTTGTTTTTTTTCAATTAAAGGATTTTTTCAAAAGTCTGGCCTCTTTTTTTAAAATTTGATTTAACCCTTTCGTGAATGGGTAGGGGTAAAAGTACCCCTTACTCATTCAAAAGGGGGGGGTGCATCTGGGTTCCCCTTCATTAAACGGGTAACTTGATGGGAATAAGCCCCCCTGCCCGTACCCACACAACCAACGGCCCAGGGCTTGTGGGGAAGAGACCCTGGTCCCCATTGGCACGGGGACAAGGTGCTTTTCCAGGGGCGCCCCTTGAAAAGCACCATGCCAGTGACGAGGGCATGTGGCCTGGTATCGTATCCCCCCCTTTCCTGCCCTGCCAGGCCTGTGCTCAGATCAAGGGTCTAGTTGGGAATTTTAGTGGGAACCCCACGTCTTTTTCACTCCATTTTTGTGGTTGGGGTTCCTCCTTAAAATTCCTACCAGACCTTAAGGGCCTGGTATGACCTTGAGGGGGAAAATTGTAAATTGGGGTCCTGCCTAAAATTCCTACCAGACCTAAAGGGTCTGGTAGGACTTTTGGGGGGCCTTTGTTTTCTTTTTTTTAATTTTGGTCCCTCATAACTTTCTTACCAGACCTAAAGTGTCTGGTATTGTTTGGGAAGGGGAACCGCACACTTTTTTTTTTCTTTTTAAATGTTTTTTTTCTTTCTTTATGAATGTCATTTTTGTTGCAGCAGGTTCTATACATCGTACAGATTTGCCCCTTTACAGGCAGTTTAAGGGGACCCCCCGGGCATGATATTTAAAGGAATTGTTCATTTGTATTGTTTCCCTTTAAGAGATGTTAAAATCACTGCTCCTTTAAAAACTGTATTTTTAAAAAAACTGTTTTTATTGATACATGTCCGCCAGGGCAGTACCCGGATCCCCATACACTTTTTTTCTTTTCTGTGGAGATGGTGCCTGATCAGAAAAGCCTTGCCCCCTGTCAGCATGCCGCAGAGAAGATCCCTGGGTAAAGCCGGCCATACACCCACAGATTATCTGCAGATTTTCCATGGTCAGACGCAAAAAGTGAAGCAGAATCCTCCATCCACACCAAACCGTGCGGCTGCAGGAACCCCACACCGGGCCACGCATCCAGCATCCCGCCAGTTGGTTCCGCTGGCCCTCAAAACACCTGAACAATGCCTGCATCCAATCAAATCGTTGAGGCACTTTGACACCCAGCGGGGTGGACCAGCAAGACATTCAAGCCCGGCCCAGTGGGAGACTCCTCCATTCACACAGCCCAGCGCCGACGGAGGAATCCGCTGCACCCCCCACGTCTGACCACAAAAAATCCGCAGATCCACAGGTGCACGGCCAGCCTTTAGAGGTCTGACATGCCCATTAGTGAGTCAGGGAGCTTGAGGTTTGCTGATTGCAGAGTCTGCTCAGCAGGGGTTGTGGCAGACCTCTGCAGAGAGACTGCTACTGCCACTTTGATAGCAAGGGAACCTCTCTGCTCCATGCCACCAGAGGACAAGCCCTCTTTTTTTAAAAACATATTTTATTGCATTTTTTTCCCCCCCCAATATGTCTTCAAGGGTTTGTCATACAATTATGCCCAAAGAGATACATATATTCAAAACAATATACCAAATACAATAGGCCCATTTCCTAGGACCAACATATACAAACCCCCCCCCCCCCTATCCCCCATGTGCTGGTCGCCCCCCTTAACAGATCTACAAAGCTCCGCCTCCATTACTCAAAAACAAGTATGCTGTTAGTTAACAGAAGGAATTTCCAAGCCCCCCAGGTCATTTGAAAGCTTTGCATTAAGGTACCATGTAGTATACCCAAAAGGTTTTATTAGTCGGGTGATTTCCTAAGCACTAAACATTGTACTAAAAAAATTCTTCCATCTGCGGGAGAAGAAACGAGTCCGTCAATCTCTTTGTTGCTCCTCCTCCAACCTTTCCCTATGAAACAGAATCATTAGTTCCGCCACCACCAGTTGGGCAGTTCTTGTTGTTCCACTGCCGCATCCACCCATACACTTTTTATGGCCAATAACTTGCATATAAGCCTTCAGGGGACAATTCATTTTCAAAGTTCTGGCCCCATAGACTTACATAGAGTTCGAGTTCGAATTCAAACGTTTTCCATCTTCTAAAGTTCGAATTCGAACCGAACACGGGGGTGATCGGCCCATCACTAATGACCACTGACTTGGTCACAAACTCCATAGCCCTGTATTGTATGTGAGGATGCCAGCTGGAAAAGGAGGGGAGAAAAGGAGAGCGCTGACTGGGGGAGCAGGGTTCAAGTAAGTAAAACAGCTTTTTTCTGTCCCCTAGGCATAAATTAGCAGTTTACCAATTTACCTTTGCAGGGTGGGGGCAGCCCCACTGAGAGGGAACATTTTTAATTTGGAGTTAGGCTTTATGATACTGAAGATGATACAGCAGTATAAAATTGGTCAATAGTAGGATGCTTAACTTATTTATTTTTTTGTATGGGGGTGGCGGGGTGCGATAAATGATGATATAATGTGAGATGGTTTAGGTGCACACTGCTCTTGCTCTTATTTTTTTTTCCTCTTTCAAATGAAGACAGTGGCATACTGCAAACAAAAGTTAGCTTCAAGAACAGACAGTTTTAAAGGAGAACTATGAGGTAAGTTCTTTTCACTCACCTCATAGTTCTAGCCGCCTGTGACAATTAGACTGTCACAGGTTGGCTCAGTAGATCGGGAAGTGAGCGAACACATACCGGCGTTTGCTCACTTCTCGATCCTGTCGCGGCTCTCTGCTGTGACAGGGGAGGGGCTGGATTCCCCCCTCCGATCCTCCAGCGCTGACTGGCGTAACGGACGGGGAGGCAGCGGGTACAGCTGGCTCTGCCTCTAGATAGGCAGAGCCAGCTGTCACTTACGCAGATGGGCGGATCAAGACATGATTGTCGGGATTCGCTTCAGCTGTGACGTCTCAGTATACCGTGAGCTGTAGCTCGTGGTATACTGAGCTTAGGGGGACGGGAGGACGCTAGTTTGTGTCCTCCCGTTACCCTTAGGAGAACTATGGGCAAAAGCCCTAACCCCATAGTTCTCCTTTAGGTAAAGTAAATAAATGCTCTGCTTTGAGCATCCCAAACTTAAAAAAAGATATTATCAACATAAAATAAAAAAAATCACAAAAGAACTGAAAACCCCAAAATACCACCCCTGAAATAAAAACCCACTTTTGTATTAAAGGAAGATTTGCAACATAAAAGTACAGTTTCTTAACTGACTCTTACCAAACCCGACTGCAAAAAAGCAGTTTTACTAAAAATTAAGGTCCTATCAATATTAATATTGAAAACCAATATACCCCCAAAACTACTGAAAACCCCAAAATATCACCCTTAAAACAAACTCTCATTTTGTAAAGGGAAGTCTTGCAGCAAGTTTTTTTCAAAAAACATTCCACTGTTGTGATTATGTTTCATGTTACACCCATATTTAGGGTGTAACATAAAACATGGTCACATTCCCTAGCCCCCCACACTCAAACCATCCCCCACGTACCTGATTTGCAGGGTGTTTCTCCCTATAGTATCCTGTGTATAATTGAATTGAGCACGGCTGTGCGTAGCTCCGTCCACACAGCGCGTGTTTCATTTACAGGGATCTGTGAACAGAAAGACTACAAGTCCCATCTGGACTGAGGCAGAGGGACTAATTGATCTCAATGGAGCACAAGTGCGATGACATTGCCACACTTGTAGTCCTTTCAAAACTTCCTCCAGCACCATTACTGAATGTCTGTACCTCTGTATGGAACTGGGACGGGGGGAATAGTTTGCAGGTAGGGCTACCACCTGTCCATGATTCACCCGGACAGTCCGGGTTTTGAATGCTGCGTACGGGTTTCATGGCAGCAGAAACCCGAACACATGATGTCAGGCAGACAGGGGCAACCAAAGTTAGGATAGGGGCTACTGGCCCCCCCCCCCACTGAAAATAGCCTCAACTGATATACTTACATATGGATGGATGTCGCTATTTACATATGAGTAAGCCACGACTCATTCTTCCCAAAAAATGTCAGCGTGTCGCTAGAGTGTTCGGGTTTCGTTTGCAGAAAAGGTGGTAACCCTATTTGCAGGAGCCTGTGTGCTGCACTGCCTATCCACTAATTACACTTCCAATGCTTTGTAGGCACAAATGCAAAATATTATTAAATGCAAATTTGAGTCTATTGATCAATTACTCCAGCCCCATAATTTACTATCGCTGGACATATCTGGGGATCGGGGAGTATTTTGCAGGAGCCTGCGCATTGTACCCACAATCCACTAATTAAGCTTGCAACTCTTTGCAGGCTCTAATGCAAATCATAATTTAATTCACATTTGACTACTTCCTCCAACCCCATATCTCCCTGTTGCTGTATCAATAGATTGCAGGAGCCTATGCATTCACCCGCCATCCATGGGTTATGCTCGCAACGCTTTGCAGGATCATACGCAAAAAGTTAACTTAATACCCTTTTTTTTTTTCATTAATGTGGGTGCATTTTTTTTTTTTTTTCAAAAGGTAGACTGTCTTTAAGAAAAAACGTGAACACAGGCACAACCTATTTACCAAGCTCAGTGAACATTCACTTACGTTTTCACTTCAGTAAGTGCACAGCCTATATAATTATAATAAATCAACCCCATTGGCTGGACAAGAATACTGTTCCTGAGTTTTGTTTTTTTTCTTTATTAGTCTCAACGTTCTTTATGTTGGATTTGGTGTGTTCTATACTGTGGTTTGAGTTGAATTGAATGCACTTGTCCTGCCTTGCACCTTGTAGATGGCAGCAACAGTCTGTAATACACACAGAGCAGGGGTGGGGAGCCAGTCAGTACACATCAGAGCCAGAAAGACCCGTCAGACAGGTGTGAAGTCAGTGGAAATCTGATCATAGACGTGTATCCTGGGACCTTCCTGTCTGTCTGAAGAGCTACAGTGTACAAAGTCACCGAGCACAGAGCACACCTGGGTTGTACTGCAACTATTGCCAGAAAAGATCTATCTTTGGGGAAACATGGTTCCCAGGAAGGGACAGACACCTGGAGAAGGTAAGAGGCTGGCAAGAGAAGAGTGAAAATGAAAGAATTCAGTGATGTGCTGAGCACATAGCTATACAAGGAGCAGACACAGATACGTTACAGGCGGTGCCAACGTATCGGACATAGCGATAGTGTATGAGTCTTGTTCTGTGTACAGTGGAAGCTGAACACTAATAAATCTTCAGTTTTATAATACACTGATTTCAGATCATGCTGGCATGGATTGAACTGGGTTCTTATATCCTATATCTTTGTAAGTTTGATACTATAGATGTATTTTATACAGTGCTTTCGTTGTGCTTTTTCTTTAATATATCGCTTTTTATGTGTTTGTATTATATGTCAATGAATCAGCGTTTTCATGCCAGCTTTTGATGGAGCTCAGTCCATCTTTACCCGGTCAGAGGGGCTTGTTAAAGATGGACTGAGCTCTGTCGAAACGTTGACAGTATAATGTTGATGCTTTGACTTATCTCCACTGCAAGACCCCTGTGTACCTCTTTACCTACTTTGGATTTGTATGGATATTTTTGTGGATAAGCACCCGGACAGTAGAGTGCGGTGGCCACCCCTGGTACTATATATACTGTATATCTTGATAAAGCTGGACTGAGCTCCATTGAAACGTTGACAATAACATGCAGATGCTTTGACTTACCTCCTCTGCAGGACCTAATATATTGAGTATATCTGATAGAAAAACACTGGTCAAACCCAACAAATGCCTATGTGTACGTAAACTACTGATTAGGTGATATATTTAGACTCCATTCACATATAGCATTTGCTTTTCCAGCGCGGTTTTCTGCGCAAACGCAATATGTGAAACAACTGCACGGATTCCGCTCGCTTGCGGCCATTATTTAGCTGCGAATGTGTGGAATCTGCTGGATTATCGCGCTTGCACTATTTTGGGGACTATTGCAGAGACCGCGCGGTACGAAACTGCGCGGTTTCCGGAATAGTCTGCATAATACACATTGAAATGCTTTGTTTTTTCTGTTTGGAACGGCTCCACGCGTATCTGTACAACCGAATACGTGCGGACAGCCGCTCCAGTGTGAATGGAGCCTGAACAATTTACAAATTTACGACAACTGTCTTCTGACCCCTGGCACATAAGTCACCATTTAAGCAAATTATTTGTAATACACAAACTCTTTTTTAATGATAGTGCTGGCTATATGAGCTAATTGGACAATATGCTTCCTGTTGCCTAACCTGTAGCTCTAGGGCTGCATGCGGCCAATGGGGGGACATTGTGAGTGTGTGTGGCTCACCAGCCAATCACTAGTGGTTTCATGGCCAGTGGTGCATGCTGGGGAAGTGTATATACAGTATACTCAGGGGAATTTCCATGTGCTCAGTCTAGTGTAGAGTCCAGACCAGGCTGGGTTCAGTCCAGCCTACCCTGGGGGTGGGAATGCTCAAGTGCGGGAAATATCTTGCTAGGCCTTAAGCCTGGATGAGGCCTCAGATGCTGATTGAGGAGGAGAACCAAATAAGATGATGACTGCTGGAGGTGTCTGGTACTGAAATGGACCTCAGGAGCAAGTCGGATGTCTCTCCTGCTGAAGATCTCATGCCTATCCCTGTCCAGCTGTTGCTCTAATACCCAGTGTCAGTGTGTGCTCCTATTGATCCTGCACTGTGGAATACTGAAAGGGACTGGTGAGTCTGGAGTCTGTCTATTTTTTCATGGATGTCTTAAGCACTCTCTACCAGTTATGAAGTCACGAATGAAAGTTTCATTAGCATAATATCTATGGCCTGGATCTTCAGTTTGTCGGTCATTAGAGGAAGGAGGTAGATGCTATTGGGGCAGCTGGTTGCTAAAATCCCCTAGACAGGCTATGGAAGACCCGTTCATCCAGCGGCTCCTTCAGAGGTGAGTGGTACGTGTGCCAGGAAGATATATTAATAGCATTTTGACTTGAACATGATTGGATGATGGAAGTCAGCAGAGCTTCACCTCATTCACTTAACTCATTGGAAAGTCCATTGAAAAATGAACAGCATATTTGCCTTTTGTAAATTAATCCCCAAGTGGGTTTGAACTACATACCAACATGGTATGATCTCACTGCTGAATGGCCATGGATGAATTAGCAGGCCTAAACTTGCAGACGCACCTGGTTCATATGTTGCAAACTGGGACTGGAGTGAACGTTTTAAAGTTCACTTGTCTCTATTGAATAGAATAGATAGAGAGTGATAAGATCTGGGTGTAACCAAGATTGGCAAGTTACTCAATGCTTTAGTACTCATAAGATTTCACCCTTACTTAGGTTTATCTAAGTAATTGCTGGATGTAGTTTGTAAAATCATCAACATTTAGTTGTTCTCTATGGCAGTCACAGCTATCAATAACCATGGATTCACAGCTCACCACCCAAAGCTTATATTTTAGGTTCACCAGTATTAAGTGTTTAGTGTTTACCCCTATATTCAAAGACAGCAATTGTCTCCATGGACAATGCTTTTACATTGAATGGTTAAAGGAGAACTATGAGGTGAGTGATTTTGACTCACCTCATAGTTCTAGCCGACCTGTGACAATGAGACTGTCACAGGTCGGCTCAGTAGATCGGGAGGTGAGCGAACACATACCGGCGTTCGCTCACCTCTCAATCCTGTCACGGCTCTTTGCCGTGACAGGTGAGGGGCTGGATTCCCCCCGCTCCGATCCGCCAGCGCTGACTGGCGGAACGGACGGGGGAGGGGGCGGGTACAGCTGGCTCTGCCTTTAGATAGGCAGAGCCAGCTGTCAGTCACGCAGCTGGGCGGATCCCGGCACAATTGTCGGGATCCGCTTCAGCTGCGGCGTCTCAGTATACCGCGAGCTACAGCTTGCGGTATACTGAGCCTAGGGTGGCGGGAGGACGCTAGTTTGTGTCCTCCCGTTACCATAAGGAGAACTATGGGGAAAAGCCTTAACCCCATAGTTCTCCTTTAAACAGCTCTGTGCACAGTGTACAATTTTTTAAGCCCAGAAAGGATAACATTATATTCTCAATGATCACCAAATAAATATTTACTTTGTGCTTGACTCTTGGCTTTTTAAATTGAATAAAACACATTATCCAGGTAAAATTGTAGTTGTCATAAAGATCATTTTGTATTATGTATTGTGTTGATATAATTGCAAACAAAGCAGAGACTATTAGGGCAGGCAACAAACAGTGATGGTATCAGGCACATGTGCCAATGAAAATATTTGATCCTTTCCTCTTAGCTGATAGAGATGATTATAATATTTCAGGCCGCTTTTTTAATCTGAACGGAAAGACAGTAGAAGTGATTGGTAAAGTAAACGTATCTAGAGAAGGGGGCATAGTTGAGAAGTGGAAGAAAAGTCATAACGATGGAGCTACATGGCAGTCAGAATACTTTTCACCTATTTAGCACTTGCTGGAATTGAAAGGAAAAAAGATTCATCCTGATATTGAAAGGTCACGTTGTGTTCATGTTCTTTGTGTCTTTAGTGTTCTCATATTTAAGCATGTTGCTGGATTCATGTAAAATTCTTTGTATTTGCTCACTAATGGGCATTAAATGAAGGGGAAAGGAGGGGTGAAAGAGCTTTTGGAAGCACAGTCTAAACATCCTACATTTTCATAAGGAGGTCAACAATCATGAAAAGTATGATTACTTTATTTGGTCTGGCTGTATTTGGCCCCCAGTTCAGCCATGTCCCCAGGTATCAGCGATGAACAGATAATTATTAATATTATACAGGATTTATATAGCGCCAACAGTTTGCGCAGCGCTTTACAATATAAGGAAGACATACAATTACAATACAATTTAAGACAAGATGGTAAGGAGGGCTATCAGTTTGCGCAAAGCTTTACAATATAAGTAAGACCTTATGGTTACAATACAAAATCAAGACAAGATGGTAAGGGGGGCCCTGCCCATGAGAGATTACAATCTAAAAGGGAGGGGCAAGTGATACAATAGGTGGTAGCTTCGTGGGGATGAATTGGTTGAGAAAGTGATATTTCAGTGTTTAGGTTGAGGTGGGATAGGTTTCCCTGAAGAGATGAGTCTTAAGGGATCGCCTAAAGGCAGTCATAGTGGGGGATAGACGGTCAGGTTGGGGTAAGGAGTTCCAAAGAATGGGGGGAGACTCTAGAGAAGTCCTGGAGGCGAGCATGGGAGGAGTTGACAAGGGAGCTTGAGAGCAGGAGGTCTTGGGAGGAGCGTACAATCATCACTGTATTTGTGTGAACTAAGAACACGTTCTGAAAATTACTCTACAAAATCCTGAAGCATAGCTCATCATATTCCTTACAACACATTGCTGCACTATAATGGATTTGTCTATAAATAGGGAGAACTAATTATGATTTAAACCAGCTTGGCACGTGCAGTGTCTGCTTACGATTCTGGTCAAGCTTGTTTAGAAATGTGTTTAGGCATGTGCTACTATTAGCAGGGCATTTGTTACAGTATTTATGTATGTTGTACGTCAGCATATATTTATATGTAAACAACATTGGCAACATGTCTGTCTTTTCTAACAGCAAAGCTACACCGTTTTACTATTTTGCAGCTTGCCAGTCCTTGGATGTGGCTGAATTAGTTTTCTTTATTCTGGATTTTTCTCTTTAATTTTCACCTGGTGACAATGCCAGTAACACACCTTCCGTTCTAGGGTGGCAACGCTTACTCACTGCACTGTATCTATAGAACAGAAGCATTGTCACTCTAAGTTGCTCTCCTGATTTGGACTACAAACATCTCCCCCTCTCCCCTTTATCTTTGTATCTTGTGAGGAAAATGTTCTGCAGTTCACAAAAGAGAACTAGCAAGAGCTGACAACACTGATTGAGATTTCAGTTCAACAAGCAGAAGGTTACAAGCATCCTGGATGTTGTGGAAGGAACAACAGGTATTTTTTCTATTCTTACAGAAAGTGAAAAAATGAAAACTAATGCAACCACCACATTCAAGGACTGGTAAGCTGAAATATATTTATTTTTGGGTCTTATTTAGATACACAT